ATGTAATCATTGTACTGTGCCTATCATAGTCCTCTGTAATTGACTAACTTATACATACAAAGGGCAGAGGCTGAATCACAACCCCAAAGGATCCAGACATACTCTTAGTATTTGTTGAAAAGATCTTTTTTAATGAGGTAAATAAGGGAAAGTTTTCTTTCCTTCCATCGTTGAAGAAGTCACATCATTCTGTCATTGGGCAATATGTGATCTTCAGCTTTGAGCCAACCATCAATCTACATCAACTTCCAAACTGATTTAGCCGAAAGCTAATCTTTCCTCTGAAGGACACAACTATTATTCTTAAAATTCTCAAGAAAAATATAAGCAGCTTCTGATCCAGAAGTGTAAGAAAAAAAAGTGTGAGAAAGCAAAAGTACTGCTCCTTGCCCTGGCTGGATGGCTCAGTTTGTTGGAGCATCATCCTATATACCAAAAAGTTGTGGGTTCAATCCTCAGCCAGGGCACATACCTAGGTTGTGGGTTCGATTCCCAGGGGGGGTGCATTCAGATGGGTGCAACCAATCAATGTTTCTCTATCTCCCCGCCCCCGACTTTCTCTCTAAAAATCAATAAACATAATTTTAAAAATTAACATATAAATTAACATATAAATTATTTAAAAATGTTGCTCCTTTACCTCCCCACAGAGGATAGGGTTAAGAGCTGGTTTTTAAGAAAATATTTGTTTAAAAAAACAAAGGAAGTGCTGAGATAGGAAAATGAAGAGTAAGGCTAAAGAATATAAAAATATATAGTTTTTGGTGCTCCACTTTTTGAAAACAGATCAATAAATTCTAATAATTTCACTTAATATTGTAATATTCATCTTTCCTCCTCAGACAGGACATTCAGGAAATAAAGATCAGGGTGAATTTGTGGATTAAGTACTCCTTCAAATGTCTTTGCATCTCGTATTCCTTCCTCAATGTCTGTGATTTTCACTGATATACTCAACTCAAGGCAAAAAGAGTAAGACAAAGTTCCTGCTTTCAAGGAACTTACAACCAGGTCTGGAGTACTGGTGAGTACACATGTAATCACGTTAATAGATGCTGCAGTGATTCAGGCTGTGAGGGAAAGCATAAGAAAGGAGCAGTCAAGTAAGAGAAGTAGCCAAGATTTAATTTGAGTAGGTGTGAAGGGAGACAAATTTCAAAAGTGAACACTATATTCAAAGGCAAGCAGAAAGACAACATGGTCCATCAGAGCCTTGCTGGTCCACATTGCAGCAGCATCTTTATCATCTGGGGGCTTGTTAGAAATGCAGAATCTCAGTCCTGTGCCTAGACCTACATAATCAGATCCCCAAGGAATTCTAATGCTCATTATAGTTTCAGAAGTGCTGCTGACTGCAAAACAGTAATTTGGTATAACTAGAATATATTGGGTTGACCAAAAAGTTCATTTGCTTTTTTTCCCCAAGTTGGCTCTTGTAGCACTTAGCTGTCTTTAACTTCATTTGAAACAATTTTGTTAGATTGTATTGTGACAGCTGTCATATTGGCATGCATTAAAAAAAACAAACTATCAATAGTGGTGAATTTTTGTTTGGTCATTTTAATATTGAAGATTGAAGAAAATATGCAACATTTTCAGCATACTATGCTTTATTATTTCAAGAAAGGTAAAAACACAACTGAAATGTAAAAAAAGATTTGTGCAGTGTATGGAGAAGGTGCTGGGGATGACTGAACATGTCAAAAATAGTTTGATAGTGAGCAAATCGAGATGTTAATTGAGAACAATTAATGTTACACCACATGGGAGACAGCTTACATACTCAAAATATACAAATCAATACAGTTATTAGTGAAAATGAAAATGTAGTCTTTTATTTTATGGAAAAAACTAAACAGACTTTTTGGCCAACCCAATAGAATACAATGGGAAAAACCCGTAAGTGAAGCTCCAGAGGCATCTCCATATCATGAAGCAACTTATCCTGGACCTAATGGAAGCCACCAGTACCTGACTGTAAGAAAATGACATGATAAAATTACCAAGGAGAGCAGAGATTGACGTGGAGGCTGGAGGAAGAAGGGATTCATTCCAGATGAAGGAGATAAAACAGGACTTACTAATCTGTGCAAGCAACACATAGTGGAAAGGTGTCAATGGTGTATGAATAAGAAATCTCGAAGAAACAGAAATAGCAATATTCACTAAAGAAGGGAACCCATAAGGAACAGATTTGGGAGGAAAGACAAGTCCAATGTGAGATGTGATGGGTCTGAAGTACCTGTAGTTCAACCAATAGATGTCTAAATAGATAGTCTTTGTACAGGAGGAGAAATAATGCCATCATCAGATAGGTAGGTAGGAACTGATGCCCTGAAAATAGAAAGATTAATAATAATAATTTAAAAAAAAGACTAAGGACAAAACATAAGCATTTAAGAGACAAACAGAGGAAAAGGGAAGCAACAAAATGAGTGAGAAAACGCCGAAAAAGAAAATCAAGGAAAACTGGTGTCACTGATGCCAAGAAAAGGGTCTCTCAAAGGGGAAAAGGAAGTCAGAGTGATGCGCCAGAGGTCAAGGCCTTGAACATCGATCATCTCCCACATACATAAGTGATTAAAAGAAGATATATATATATATATATATCAATGAGGGACTTAAGGGAAATTTTTAGTTTACTGCTTTCCCCCCTGTATTTTGCAATTGTTCCTCAAGACACATGGGTTTTATAATTTAAAAATATACAATAAAAAATTAATAAACAAGACAACGATGGCTTTTGCGGTGGTTATTGCAGTGGGTAGAAGAGTGAATATGAAGTGAGGAAATGAAGGATGGGAGTACAGACAGGGAAGAGAGATTGGGAAGCATCTAGAGTAAGTCTTGATTCCCAGATTCCCAGGAAAGGTTCTGTCTTTCATGTGGGGCATGCTTAGAGGCTGAAGGATAAAAGATTGCATAGAAAAAGTTTACAGTGACCAGGAGAAAAAGGGAACAAATACTTCACTTGCTATGAGCTGAGCACCACAGGGGTGAACAAGTCAAAGTTCTGCTCTCATGTAACTCATTTTCTACTAAGAAAACAAGAGAAAAGGTAAATAATATCAGACAAGTGAGACATGCTTTGATAAAAACTAAAAGAGGGTAGTTTTTTGAGAGTGTTGAGGTAAGGCTTGCCTGAAGAAACAGCATATCCCCTGGCTGGTGTGGCTCAGCTGGCTGGAGAGTCGTCCCATAAACCAAAAGGTCACAGCTTCCATTGCTGGTCAGGGCACATGCCTAGGTTGCAGGTCCCGGCAACCCCTGGTTTGGGTGCGTACTGGAGGCAGTTTATCAGTGTTTCTCTCTCACGTCGATGTTTCTGTCCCTCCCTTCCCCTCTCTGTAAAATCAATAAGCATGTCCTTGCATGAGGAATACGGAAAGGATGGAAAGGAAGGAAAGGAAAGAAAGGAAGGGCATTTAAGTTGAGTCCTAAAAGACAAGAAATCAACTTTACAAAGAAGCAGACCTGTTATCTTTGCTTTACAAATAATGAAACTGAGGATCAAAGAAGTTAAGATTTCCCACCAAGTAAATGGAACCCAGGTCTGATGACCACCCAAACCTTTTATAATACCCTTTCTCCTAGACTGGGTTCCCTCACATGCGACATTGAAGATGAATGACATCAAAAGAGGAGTTGGCATGACTTTCTTTGTCAAAAAAAACTCTTTGAAAACCAAAAGCCGTAGCAGTGTCAAGAAAGCAGAGGCATGAAGGTTAACTATTGAGGCCTAATGAGAAAATCTAGGCAGGCTCCAGATTACAAGTAGGCTGCACTCCCAAATATGTAACTAAGTTGTTAAGAAGTCATAAAACATTTCCTCCATATAATTTTATGTAGAGAGTAGGGTTCCAGGATGGTCCACAAAGACCCATGTAATCATAGTTATTATTCTAGAAACTAATAAAGCATGTATTAGGTACCAGGTCCCATGCTAAGTGCTTTACATACAATACCACCAACATTATTGCTACTCTTACCTTATAACTAAGGAAATAGGCCTGGAGATGTTAAGTAACCTGTCCAATTGCATTATACAAATAAATACAGGGGTCAGCAGTCCAGCCCTGGCCTATTCCAGATCCTTAGCTCTTAGTCCTTACACTGACTCCCAAAATACCTTTACTTTAAATATTAGTCCTTCCAAAAACCAGCTTTCCCCCAAACCTAAAACCTCAGTGCCCACGTCCCGTTCTCAGCTGGTCAGAATACTATTCAAATGAACACTTTCATCAAGCTTCCTGTCCCCCACCCCCGAAAAGTCTAATACCAAATCTATCTCCTGATAATCCTCAGTCCCTGCGGGCATTTACTCACACTCTTGACACCCGCTGAGAATTTAACTTGCCTCTGCACCCCCCAGACTCCCCGCCAGACCCCCGCCCCGGAAGTGCCTTGCACATGTTCACTTCTCATTCACTGACACTTACTGAGCCTACTGTGACAATTTCCAACCCAAATCACACCTTCGTAAATACTACAGGGAAAACTCCAAGAAAATTCAGGCAAAGACCCAAGCTGATCATTATTAAACATCTATCTCTAAGCGACTCCTAACTCTCCCAATTCCCAACCTATTCTCCCCCCACCCCCCAAAAATAAGTAACACTCGAAAACTAACTCCTCGGTGGTTACTGCTAATCACCAATAATGCTTGCACAAGGGACAGAACACAAGCTGGTCAACCTTGAAGACAGGAGTGCCACCCGACCTCGCAGCAGCCTTCAGGACCCCTCTCAGCGTCCCAGGCTGAAGGTAGCCCGAAGGCAGACTTCAAGCCGGAAACAAGCCATGCCCGCGGCCATGACCTTCTGAAGGCGACCAACCCAGTCACCCGAACACCCCTGGTGGAGAGCATGGTCCGAGGCCCCGGGATGCTTGGCTCTGGAGCGGGCAGACCGGCTCGAAAAAGGGCACAGGAAGCACCTGTCCCCCACCAGCGTCAACGACCCCGGGAGATGCCTGAGCTGCAGGAGAGCTGAGGCACTCACCCGGCGACAGGCGCGGCGCGTGCAGCGGGCTGACAGACCGCGGCGTGCGGCCGGCCCGGGCCGCCCGCGAGGAGGCGTAGGGAGAGCGGGAGGCGCGCAGCCACCCCAGCCCGGAGGAGCCAGCGTGCGGGTCTGAGAAGGGCTGCCATGGCTCGGCTGTCCCCAGCACTTCGCACGTTCCGCAAGAAGGACAGGGGGAGCACGTGACCTCAGGGTCGCCCGGCGCGGGAGAAACCAAAGGCCCAGCGCGCCAGACATCAGGGGAGGCAAGTGTCGTTTTAGCTTAGAAGGTGTAAAAAGCCTACGTCTCTGAGGAGACACGAGACACACACAACATTTAAATGACAATGTGGCTTGACGTGTTATTGAATGGAGCTTCTCTTCCTGTCTTCTGTGTTTCGTCTCAGCAAGTGCAGTCGCTGCACCCCTACGCTCTTCAGTTGGTAGAGTCGGAAGAGGTCGACTCCTCCCAGGTTAGCGCAGGGGCTTGCGGGGGGCCAACCGACCGGAACTCCGGAGTGCTCTCGGGAACAGCCGACTATGAAGATCCCTGCGTGCAGAGGCGCTCTCTGCAGAGGCTGGGGTTGCCGCCGGCGTTCGGTGGCTGCTGCTCCGTGTTGAAGTTGCCGCGCTCCCTCTTGGGAGCGCGCCGTAACTCTCAGAAACGTGGGACGAAAAACCGTTGAGGACCTTTGCACTGTGCTAGGGACCTCCAGGATTACCTATAACGTGATTAGTATTATCGGGGCCAGGGGGCAGTGTAAAGGAATACAGAGGTCCAATCCTAGGTCCATAAGCAGTGCCTCGCGTTATGAAACAGATGGGGTCTGACTAAGGTCTTATAGTTTTAAAGCTGGAACTAAACTCGTTATCTTCCCTAACTCCTACGCTGCCCCTTCCGTCAGTATATGTACTAGCGTGAGAGATAAGAGCCGTAGGTTTGAGAGTCTGGAGCCAAATCTGGGGATTAAACAGGAGGCTCTTGCTTTCACAGGCTTTACAGTCTGGAAGGGTTCCCTGTGCACACGCGGGAAGCCCGGAGCAGGCTTCCGCTCCCTCTTCACCTAGCTTTATCCTTCCCGTTCCCAGGTGAGCCCTCCGAAGCTTCCTTTGGAAGCCTTCCACGGTCATTTCCCGTTTGGCTGTTTATCCCCCTGGACAGCTTCTTGAGAGCAAGGACTGTGTGACTTTTTCTTGTAGCTTAGGCACATACTCAGGGTCAGTCTACCGAGTAGATTGCATTACATATTTACTGGAAAAAAAAAAAAAGTGTGTATTTTCAAATTATCAAACTCATCTCTCCCTTGAGAGATGAGGAAAATGAGATCCAGAGAAAGGTTCAGTGGTTTACTCTGGGTTATACTCTTAGGCATTAGGAATATAATTTATTTATTCACTCATTTCAACACATTTATGGAACATACATTGAGTGCCGGGCTCTCTTTGAGATGGGGATACAGCAGAGACCAAAACAGACCAAGTCTCGTCTCCGATTAAGCATTCCGTAATTTAAACTGGGAATACATAAGAACTGTGATGTAAAATAAATCGCCGTAGGGATTGAGAAGGACACCTGTAGCCCCTTCAAAGAGGAGAAAGGGGGACGGTGGATGTGAAAAAAGAGCAGGGCAGGGAGGGGAGGGTTGGCGGGCATAGAGGTCAGATGTAGGTGAGGGGCAGATATTGCAGAGTGTTGATATGCAGCTATAAGAACTCCGATTTTTGTTCGGAATGGGATAGGAAACCATTGTAAAGTATGGTGTGTCGCTATGATATGAAACCATTTGTAGTTTTAAAGGATCACTCTGGCTACTTTTTGGAGAGGTGTTTTAAAGGAATAAAGGTAAATAAAAGTGGGGAGATGAGTGAGAAAGCTCTTGGAATAATCTAGACTAGAGATGGTAGTGAGCTGGATGGAGTGGGTGGCAGGTGAGATAATGAGGAAGAGTCAATTTTCACTCTGTTTAAATAGTAGAACCAGGATATACCGAGGCCTGGGTATAAGTCAAGGATGACTCCAAAATGTTTGGCCTGAGAAAGAGGGAGATGGCGCTGATTAAAATTGGGAGGACTGAGGGAAAACAGATTTAAAGATCAAAATCAACAGTGATCTTCTGGAATATTAAGCTTGAGGTGCCTGTTAGACATCCAAATGTCAAGCTTGAGTAGGGAATTGGCTATGTGACATTCAAGTCTGGAGTTCAGAATTAGAGATACATTTGGGAATCTACAGACTTTACCTAATATTTTAAGCCATGGAACATCTAGGAGGAAAATATACGTAGACACAAAATAAGATCCAGCAACTGAGGCTTGTCACATTTCAATAGTTAGAAGATGTGGAAATGAAAATCCAGCACTAGACACTGAGAAAGAATAGCCAGAGAGGTAGGAGGAGAATGAAGAGAAAGAGATGGAATCTCAAATAACAGAGAGAGGGAAGTCTTTCAAGGAGGGCATTACCAACCACATGTTGTCGTTTGTTCTGGTAAAATGAGCACTCAACATTGACCAGAGGACTTCGCAATTTGCAGGTCCCTGGTGATGCCACAAAGAGCAATTTTGATGATATGCTGAATTAAAAGATTGATTTAAGTGAACTTAACATGGAAAGGGGAAGTAGAAACAGGGAGAATAGACAAGCCTTTGTAGACTATACTGTGAAGGACTGGGCCAAGAAAGGGGGTGGTTTTCTAGAAGGAGGTGTGAAATCAGGGAGATTAGTGTTTTCTTTTCTTTCAATTTTATTATGTTGGTTTCACAGCTTAGTGGCTAAACAATCATATACTTTATGTAATGTTCCCCTCAATATTTCTAGTACCCCACCTGGCACCATGCGTAGTTATTGCTATGTTATTGATTATATTCCCTATGTTTTGCTTACATCCCCATGACTATTTTGTAACTACCAATTTATAGAGATACATTTTTTAAGGTGAAATAACAGCATTTTTGATGCTGATGGGAATTGTTCTTATGTAGTTATTTAATTTAATTTAACCTAAATTTTTAAAATTCATTTCCTCAGTTCCACATTTCAAGTACTCAATAGCCACTAGTAGCTAGAAACTACCATATTGAACAGCACAGACACAAAATTGCCATCACTATAGAAAATTCTGTTGGTCAGTGCTGCAGTAGAGAATGAAAAATTGATAGTGCAGAGGAGAAAGAGTACACTGAGTAGACGAGAGGGCATGGGATCTGGACAAAAATGAAGGGGTTGACTTTAGAGGAGAATCCAGATAGTGCAGCCATTGTCATAGAAGGAAAGACAAGCTATGTGGTTACAGGTGTACTGAGGCTGGTAGAAGTAGTGGTGAGAATGAATTGATGATCTCGCTTAGTTGCTACTGTCTCTGAAACCTTTAGTCTCCAACCAACATTATCTCTGTTTTAAACCCAGATACCCCTAGAAGTATGAAGCCTCTATTGAAATTTATCTAGGCATTCATTTCTTCACTCATGAATGTATTCATTGTTTATTGAACACCTAAGATCTTCCAAGCAGCAAATTAAGTGCTAGAAAAAAAAAATATGATGGGCAAAAGCAGGAGCGGTCCTTACAGTTATGGAGGTTACCTTCCAGAGGGCAAGGCAGATGTTCATCAAATAATCACACTAAATGAGTTATACATTGAAACAGGCATTTTGAAAAAGAAACATGTTTCCATGAGAGTATGCCTCACCTGGAAGTAAAAAGGTTCCCAGGGAAAGATTCCTTAGGTTGGAATTAGAAGAATGACTAGTTCTCAACACATGCAAGATGCACATGTGTCTCTGTGTTTCATATGTGTGTGTAAGAGAGAAAAAGTGGTATTTGCTTGTTTTTCAGTGAGACTTCCTAAGTTCTCAGATGTCTTTAGATTCCAGAAGCTGTGACAAAGTGGAAGAGAAGTCCAAGTTGATCATCCTTGATTCCTCCCTTTGCTTATTCTGAATTATGAAATGGATTCAAACATTGGTTAGGAAATTAGGACCCCTGCCTGTCCCAGTGAATGGTATACCTTCTGAACAGAATCTTATTAGAAGGACAGCTTAGGAGGTAGAATTTGGAAAAGTACTTAACTGCTCCATTTCTTCATGTGTAAAACTGGTGATAACCTATCCTTTCCTTCTAGGATTTTAGGGGGGAATATTAAGTTTTCTTTTTCATGATCCAAAATATTTTATTTTATTTTTTAAATTATATTTTCTTGTTTGTACTATTACAGTCCAATTTTTCTGCCTTTGCCCACTCCACCATCTCCCCAACTCCCTCAGGCAATCTCCACACTGCATTATCTACGCCCATGGGTCCTGCATACATGTTCTTTTGCTACTTTATTTCTATGCAGTACTTGACATTCCCATGACTATTCTGTAACTAATAATTTGCACTTCTTGATCCCTTCACCTTTTTTGCCCATCCCTCCAACCCCCCTCCTATCTGACAACCATGAAAACCATGTGACTGTTTTTCTGCTGTTTGTTTGTTTTGTTTTTTAGATTTGATTGTTGATAGGTACATATTTATTGCCATTTTATTGTTCATATTTTTGATCTTCTTCTTAAAGAAGACCCTTTAAAATTTAATGTAATACTGGTTTGGTGGTGATGAACTCCTTTACCTTTTTCTTGTCTGGGTAGCTCTTTATCTGTCCTTCAGTTCCAAATGATAGCTTTGCTGGGTAGACTAATCTCAGTTGTAGGTCCTTGCTTTTCATCACTTTGAATATTTTTGCCAATCCCTTCTAGCCTGCAAAGTTTCTTTTGAGATATCAGCTGACATTCTTATGGGAGCTCCCTTGCAAGCAATTACCTGCTTTTTCCTTGCCGTTTTTAAGATCCTCTCTTTGTATTTAAACTTTGGCATTTTAATTATAATGTATCTTGGTGTGGGCCTCTTTGGGTTCATCTTGTTTGGGACTCTGTTCTTCCTGGACTCGTATATCTATCTCCTTCACAAAGTTAGAGACGTATTGTCATTTTTTTCAAATAGGTGTTCAATTTCTTGCTTTCTCTCTTCTCACACCCCCATGATGCAAATGTTGGTAAACTTGAAGTTATCCCAGAGGTTCCATACACTATCTTCATTTTTTTTTTTATTCTTTTTTCTTCTTGCTGTTCCAATTGGTTGTTTTTGGCTCCTTATGTTCCAGATCACTGATTTGTTTCTCGGCTTCATCCACTCTACTGTCATTTTCCTGTAAATTAATC